TACGCCTTTCTGTCAGTGTTCAGTAACACCCTAACTGTTGAGTAACAAGTACCCCCAACTAATGTCACTCCTTCTCCCTCTTCATGTGGTCAAACTACTTACTTGACATTAAGAAAGGACATCTTTCCAGACAAGTCTTCCCTCTTCATAGAAGAATCTCAATGAAGCTTTTGGGCACTATTCCTGTCCCTCTGTCTGTTTGAGGGCCTTCTCCCTGCAACATAGAGAATGTACATGACATCCAGCTGATGCAATACACTCCATAATTCATCCATTTCTCAAGGACTGTAGCAGACAGGTGGTGTGGAGTAGACAGAAGCATGGCTCTGACCTTTGGCTACAGCCTGCCTAGCTGGCCGGACACTCTGGGGAAAGCCTCCCACCACTGGTGTGCATGGCCAAAGAGCTCCATTTTCATGTCATCTGACCATAGCACCACCTGGAGTTTGATAAACGTTATTGGCACTTGGATTGGAACCGGTGCTATGGTCAGAGGACATGAAAATAGAGCTGTTTGGCCATGCACACCAGTGGTGGGTTTGGTGTTGAAAAACTGAAGCATATGCAGAAAAGTACCTCATACCTACTGTAAAATATGGTGGTGGATCTTTGATGTTATGGGGCTATTTTGCTTCCACTGGTCCTGGGGCCCATGTTAAGGTCAACGGCATCATGAACTTTACCCAGTACCAGGATATTTGAGACAGAAACCTGGTTGCCTCTGCCAGGAGGCTGACACTTGGCCGCAGGTGGATCTTCCAGCAAGACAATAACCCCAAGCACTAATCAAAATCAACAAGGAAATGGTTAATTGACCACAAAATCGTCATTTTGCAATGGCCATCTCAGTCTCCGGACTTGAACCCCATTGAATCCCTGTGGTTTTAATTGAGGAGGGCAGTCCATCAGAGCAGACGAAGGATATCAAGGATCTGGAAAGATTCTGTATAGAGGAATGGTCTAAGATCCCTCCCAATGTGTTCTCAATCTCATAAAACATTTTAGAAAAAGGCTCAGTGCCATTATCCTCGCAAGGGGAGGGTGCTAGATTTTTTTTATTACTTGTTGAACAAAATCTATTTCTCTGGGCAATTGTATTAGTATAAAATAATATAATTTCCCAATTTTTTGGAGCATACAATATAGCTCAGTATTTGTATTAATTAGTTTATAGTCTTTTTTGCTCATCTTTATTAAGGGTGCCAATAATTATGAACCTGCCTGTATATCATGTTTTATTGTGGACCTCAGTCTCATCTTCTCAATTACTACTGCAACTTCTCTAATTCCTCCAATGTCCTCTGGCTGACATTGTCATTGGATATTGATGTGATACAACGTCAACATTCTGAGTAAACCTCCAGGTGGCTTTTCTTTACTTCCAGCATCAAGACATTACTGTTTCATGTGGACAACACTATATATTAGTTCCTGTTAGTGTATGTACAGTATGATGCAGGTATATGATATGGTTAATAGCAGCAAAGCTTATTTTCTACAAAGAGGCAGATAAATCAATTGTCTTGCCACTGTAAAATCCTTTCTTACATGTAAACAGTCAATGGGTGACTGGGTGTGTTAGCTATCTATCAGTGATGGTTTGTAATGTACAGTGCCTTTGCTAAGTGGTCGCGAAGTCTCATAGACTGTACCAATAACTGATGAAGGTCTGGACTCTGAAAGGTGACATCAGGGTAAAAGCATTATATGCATAATCAAAACCCCACCACATCGACATTTTATAAAAAATAATATAAACTCTCTATCCAGATGAGAAAATAGAACAGATAATACTGCAATATCACACCAACCTCTCCTTTTCATTTAATTAATTTGCTTTTAAGTCGTGGTCAAAGAAATGGGAGCTTCTCAGGGGTGGGCTATAGCAGTGTACGCCGTGCAATGGATGGGCCAATTCATCCCCCTTTGCTGAGAGAGAGAGAGAGAGAGAGAGAGAGAGAGAGAGAGAGAGAGAGAGAGAGAGAGAGAGAGAGAGAAGGAAAGAGAGAGAGAAAGAGAGAGAGAGAGAGAGAGAGAGAGAGAAATAAAGAGCTCCCTCTGCTGGAACCGTTGTGCTCTACGTCTACATTGAAAACCTTACGCACTGAACAAAAATATAAATGCAACATGTGAAGTGTTGGTCCCATGTTTCATGAGCTGAAATAAAAGATCCCAGAAATGTTTCATACGCACAAAAAGCTTATTTCTCTCAAATGTTGTGCACAAATTTGTTTAAATCCCTGTTAGTGAGCATTTTAGACTTTGTCAAGATAATCCATCCACCTGACAGGTTTACATATCAAGAAGCTGATTAAACAGCATGATCATTACACAGGTGCACCTTGTGCTCGGGACAATAAAAGGCCACTCTAAAATGTGCAGTTTTGTCACACAACACAATGCCACAGACGTCTCAAGTTTTGAGGGAGTTTGCAATTATCATGATGACTGCAGGAATGTCCACCAGAGCTGTTGCCAGATAATTAAATGTTAATTTCTCTACCAAAACGTTGTTTTAGAGAATTTGGCAGTACGTCCAACCAGGCTCACATCCGCAGACCACGTGTAACCACGCCAGCCCAGGACCTCCACACACGGCTTCTTTACCTGCGGGATCATCTGAGGGGAGGGGGGCGCGGCGGGGTGCTGAGGAGTATTTCTGTCTGTAATAAAGCTGTTTTGTGGGGAAAAACTCATTCTGATTGGCTGGGCCTGGCTCCCAAGTGGGTGGGCATATGCCCTCCCAGGCCCACCCATGGCTGCACCCCTGCCCAGTTGTGAAATCCATAGATTAGGGTCTAATTTATTTATTTCAATTGACTAATTTCCTTATATGAACTGTAACTCTTTGAAATTGTTGCATGTTACATTTATATTCTTGTTGAGTATAGATTCACATGCTCAACAAAACTATGTTTACTGAGTGAAACAAACATGCTTTCTTACTACAGTGGAAGAGTATTGTATTTTATCTATCCAGGAATCCATCTGGTTTTGAATCTATCCCAAAGTTGGTGGACAGTTGATGTGAACTTACTTAGAATGTGCTGAGGTAAATGATGACATGTCCAGAGGGACAAGCAAGCTATATCTACTCAGGGTTTTCTAAAGCTAACCAGCTTCCGTTAGCTTCACATTCCAGCTCAGGCTTCATCTGTAGGCCTACTACGACAGTGAATATTGCTCGTCCGCTTGCCTCTAACTCTAGCAGGCTTGTAACTGCACGTGGATGTCGTGCATGGCTAGTCAAATGCCAAAGCCTTTATTGAGACAATGCTGAAAAATCTATCCATGGGCGAGTCAGTGCCTCATTTTCATTTGTGTCGAATCAAAATAAAATAAAAGTTATCTTGCAATTCAGCAGGCTATGGTGTGAAATAGGCTTTTAGAAGTGCCATCTTTATTTTATTACTTATTGTTAATGCCGTCTTTGGTGTGCTTATCAATGCACAAGCAAAGTTTAAAATGCATTCTGACATCACTAAGTGTGTAATGTGATATATTTTAACATTACTATTTTTAACACAAAACAAACATTTGATTAATACAATTTTTAATCAGTCATCTTCCTCAAATGAAGGGGATGACGACGCAATCTTTGCAAGGGGGAGGGAATCTGAATTCATTGGTCCTCAACTCGCGGCTCAGTCAATTCATTCCGGGTAAGTGGAGTTAGCCTGCCCCAGAGCAGGTTTCTGAAGGATTCATTGCCATAGAAATTTACTTGGCTAAAAGGTGAGCCACTTTCCTATGACTGGTTATCCCGAGTTGAACTCACAGTTGACTAAAGTTACCTTGCTAACTCCTCAAAGCTGCTTTGTAGGATACCCCGCTTTCACACTGACAGCAAAGAAAATATCAGACGGCCAGTTTGTCTGCTGACCTGGGAGAAAAAAAAGCTTTGAAGGGTTTGAAGAATTTGAACAGTCAACTTAAAAACAAATTCAATACAGTGTTCCCATTACCTAACATCCCTTTCTTAAAGTTTGGATTAGATTCAGATGTTCAAAACAACACATTGTTGTCCATTTAATATATAGCTTTCTGTCATGATAAAGAAGGCATAATACTTGACTTATCTAATATTCACTGAGTATACCAGACATTAGGAATGCCTTCATAATATTGAGTTGCACCTTAATTGGGGAGAACGGGCTTGTGGTAATGACTGGAGCGGAATCTGTGGAATGGTATCAAATACATGGTTTCCAGGTGTTTGATGCCATTCCATTCCATTTTCTCTGTTCCGGACATTATTATGAGCTGTGTCAAGTTGGCTGGACCTTTGGGTGGTGCACCATTCCTGATACACATGGGGAAACTGTTGAGCATGAAAAACCCAACAGTGTTGCAGTTCTTGACACAAACCGTTGCGCCTGGCACCTTCTACCATACCCCATTCAAAGACACTTACATTTTTTGTCTTGTCCATTCACCCTCTGAATGGAACACATACACAATCTACATCTCCATTGTCTCAAGGGTTAAAAATCCTTCTTTAACCTGTCTCCTCCCCTTTATCAAGTGACTCAATAAGGGATCATAGCTTTCACCTGGATTCACCTGGTCAGTATATGTCAAGGAAAGAGCAGGTGTTCTTAATGTTTTGTCCATTCAGTGTATATCTCATGTAGAAAAACAACATAACAAAAACATAAGTGTTGTTGATCTGTGCTGTAGTCACACATGTATTATGTAAGGCTTTTATGTACACATATATACATTAAATACATTGATATTTTTAATAACTGTGTTTCACTAGTTGACAACACATCCTATCTGACATAGTGTGATGTGTGTCTCGGGCAAGTGGGTGGAATGTTGTTGGAGTGCATGGAGTCCATTGATTGTATACTGACTCATCAGGTTCTGTAGCTGGACATTAGACCTATTGACCAGGCATAGAAAACATGGTCAAAACAAGATCAGAGGTTAACACACATTTTGAATGTCGTTTTTAAACCTTCAATCTTCTGGTTTTATAGAGATTCCCTACAAACTCAGGCTGTAGATGTGTGGTTGAGGAGGGTTCTTCTGGTCCACTCATAAGCCAGGAATAGAGCTCCGTTGGAGGGGAAGGCCCGCAGGACGGTAGGGGTTAGACCACAATACAGAGCAGGAACACCTGGAACAGAGGCAATACATCATCAAGCCCATACATGTGAACTCTAAAGGGGCTCAAACTACAAAGCTGAGGCACCACAGGAGGTTGGTGGCACCTTAATTGGGGAGGACGGCCTCATGGTAACGGCTGGAGTGGAATAAGTGGAATGGTATCAAATACATCAAACACGTGGTTTCCATGTGTTTGATGCCATTCCATTCGCTCCAGCCATTATTATGAGCCGTCCTCCCCTCAGCAGCCTCCACTATGAGGGACAATCCTAATCTTCTGTAGCTAGTGAGTTAATTAATTTCTGTTATCTGGAAAAGAAAGCTGCCAACATGAGTAAATAAGCAAATTATATGGCAATAACTCAATCAGAAGTTTACTGATGAACACATTTGAGATTGACAGAATCCCTGCAGTTTAGAAGACCTGGGGTATAGAATCAGATTATGAAAAAGAATGTGGAAGAGTATGTTCTCACCTTCTGTCCTTATGATACAGAGCAGTGTTCTGATAAACCCAGCCTGCTTGCCTGACATAGATAGAACCTGGATTCTGGATTTGACTGAATCAATGGGGTACACTGCCAACCAAAAGGCAGCCCCCCCAACTCCTCCACTGATTAACAGCGGGACAGCATCTATCAAAGACAAAAACAGACAATAAAATCAGTTGTGTAAAGCTATACCATAGACATCTATCTAATATGGAGTTTGCTGAATAGCTAAATGAGAAGATGAATCCCTTCAGTGGAGTCATAAGGAATGGACTCACCCAACTCATCCTTGGACTGGCCAGGCTTTGTAAAGAGGGTTCTGCAGATCTCATAGCCCCCAAAGAAGAGGAAGTATCCAGGCACCTCTCTGAGCCAGGTGCTAGTCATGCCCTGGAAGAGGCCTTGAGGACCATCCGTCTTCAATATGTCCCTCACCACTGACCAGGTGGAACTGGGAGAAGGAGAGACAGGGGAAAGTGCACCAGAATACAGCCAAACACATCATCTATTATTACATTGCACAACGTCTTACTTGTGCATTATACATTGTGCATAATGTGCTTTCGAGTATGTACGGTATTATGGTTTTCCTAAGATATATTTCATATACAAACTACACATGTTTTTGCACAGGGTTTGAGCAAGATACGCAATAAGAGATGACCTCCCACCCACGTGTACTATTTGTCAATAGTGTTGAACCACAATGACAACATGATCCCGTTGTACTGTCCATATAAGACCACTGGAGAACAGTTGCGATGCTTACATGTGTGACGCCAGGGAGGTCTTCCCCACCATCCTCATCTCATGCACGGCCTGCATGCGACACTTGACCAGCTCTGTGGGACACAAAACCAGCGAGGAGAAGACAGACGCCAGGGACCCAGACAGGGCATTCTGCAGGTCACTGTGACAAAGATGTTATATATGAGAGAAAAGAGAAACAGCAGCAAGATGAAAAGACCGCTTTGCATTCGTAAGCACTCAGCCAGACACATGGTGAAGGGGAGAGGGATGAGATGAGAATGGTTAGACAAAGATCTTCTGTTGCCAACCTGAGGTGAGACACTTTCTCCAGCCCAAAGACTCTCCTGGTGAGCTGCTGGCAGGTCCCGTAGCAGGCGAAGAGCACAGCGTTCTCTGCCACGTTGGCCAGAAGAGCAGGCACGCTTCCCTGGTAGAGCCCCCGGAGCCCATCGTGGCGGTACGTCTTCAGGGAACAGTCCAGGAAGCCACGGTACAGACTGGGGAACGTCTGCATCTTCACCTTGACCGTGTCAAAGGGCTGACCGCTCAGCACACACGCAACACCCCCTATGTGAGAGGAGAGATTTCCAATGTCACCATGAAGGACCTCAACCTTTTCTTCCACTCTATGTTCATGGTTAAAACATTTACATTTGCTGAATGAGAGCCATCCTGTCCAGCTGCATCATTCACTAGATGTTTCTATTGAACAACAAAACCAACCTTGTGTTGTACATGTGTAAATCAAGAGTCATCAAGTTAAATCTATGGAAAAGTAGGCGATGGTAGGCAATTTAAGTAATTAAAGATTTTACTTGCCTGCTGCCCCAGCAGTGAGGTTTATGATTGCGTCGGTCATGGGATGTAACGTACATTCCTCCTCCACGCCCATTGTGTCCAGAGACTCAGAGATGCACACTCACTGACGTTGATGGATATGATGAAATCTTTGACTTTTCAGGCAAACTTTTGTTGGATAATAAATAACCTACAAAAGAGCAACGTGTTCAACTACACTCTGCGGTGTATTTGGTGTAGTGCATGTGGGGAAAGGTGGGTTGCAGATTATAGTCTCAAGACTCAAGGGGTGGAGCTATTTATAGTTGTCGAAAAAGATTAATGATTAATCTTGAAGATTAAAGCCAGGATTCAATCAATTGCAGATAGTGGCTTTCCAGAGAGCACTTTCAGGGTCCAAAGCATACAATTTCTTAGGGATGAGAATACTTCTTAGCAGTGAAATTCTTAAATTCTCAGAATTGTGATATGTTCCTCATATTAAGTGTAATCATTTGTTTAAAAGTCACTACTAAAGATCCACGCCTGTCACAACAGTAGTGTAAGTTGCGCTGGATAAGAGCATTTGCTAAACGTAAAAATGTAAATGTAAATTCAAAATCATACAATGTTGCATAAAGTTTCATACATTTACCACTAAAGAAAGGCCACAATAAAAATACAATTGGTAATTTCCATGCAGGGAATAAATCAATTTGGATCCACACAGAATGTAAAAATCTAATTATTTATTTTTAAATCAAAGGCATCCTAAACATACAAAACAAATTGCGCAGGTGCTAAGAAAAATCCCCACCTTGTCCAAAAGATGTAGCGTCAACATTGGTCAAGAGGTGGACAAATGTTAACATCTAAAATGTCATTCCACTTATCCAAATTAACAAAAACAAATATAGGACCCATTTCATCATAATTCCTTTCAGCCATAAAACAGTGAAATGGATCAGTCCTGCCTCAAACGCACAGGTAGTTGGAATAATAAGCCATGGCAATGTTACATGAATACCTGGTTGTCAGACTGGACATCTACCTCAAGTCTATGGATTGTGTGTCTACCCATACAATTCCCTCAAATGCAAACTTACAATTCCATGAAATGTGGATCCCTGTAAAATAGAAAAATAAAATCTAAATCTATTTCAATAGCCATATAGTAACACACACAGTATTTTATAGGGTATGAACCCTTATGCGATCACTGTGAATAGGTTTGTTCAACTGAAAAAAGCAAAGGGATCAGGAAAAACACTGGAGAGCAAGGTGTTAAAGAACCAAATGACAACCAGAAAGAAACTACAGTGAGAAAACGGTTTCAAAACCAATTTGATGTTTTCTTCTGGGATAGTTGAACTAGGTGAAACCTATAGATAGGTGTGCTCACATCTAATGGCCAGTGTCTTAACCAACCACAATACAATTTTCTATTAGTCATCCTCCTCATCCTCATCATCTTCATCATCATCTTCCTCGTCATCGTCATCTTCAGCCTTCTTCGATTTAGAGGCTCCTGCCCCGCCCAGTTTTCCCTTTCCTCCTTTGTAATCTGCCACATCCTAGAAACAGTAAGCAAAGGTGTCTTGAATAAAAACAAGTCACATTTTCAACCCCTTGGAAAAATCACAGGTTTTGCAATATTTAGCCAGTGATTCCTTGCATATAGGGTCTGACACCACAGTCAGACCACTTACAGGGGTAAAAATCCCATTCAATTACATTTCCTTTGAGACAAATACAGAGTCCCCAATGCCGTTACCTTATTGTATTTTTCCTTGAGTTTGTTGGCTTTGGCAAGATATGGCTGCTTATTGGAGTCTGTCAAATTGTTCCACATCTCTCCAAGCTTCTTTGCCACATCCCCAATGCCAAAGGTTGGGTGCTGGGCTTTAATATTGGGGCGCTGCTCAGCACAGAAAACAAAGAACCCTGATCTGTATAAAAGAAGGAATGCTGTCGTTACTGATTGTTGAAGGACTTCAAAAATTAATCATATATTGTTTTGAATTGTCCAGGGGCCCCCCATTGATTTTGTTAGTCACTCACTCATATCATATGAACATGGCAAACTGCACATTTCTCTCTGCCCCATGGTAAAATTTGAAGAAATGCATGAAAATATACTGGGGGGAAAAAAATGCAACATGGGAGGGCATAGGCATACCCACTTGGGAGCCAGGTCCAGCCAATCAGAATGAGTTTTTCCCCACAAAAGGGCTTTACTACAGAAATAAATACTCCTCCACGTGGTTACACGTGTTCTGCGGTTGTGAGGCCGGTTGTATGTACTGCCAAATTCTCTAAAACAATGCTTATGGTAGAGAAATTAATATTACATTCTCTGGCAACAGCTCTGGTGGACATTCCTGCAGTCAGCATGCAAATTGCACGCTCCCTCAAAAGTTGAGACATCTGTGGCATTGTGTTGTGTGGCAAAACTGCACATTTTAGAGTGGCCTTTTATTGTCCCCAGCACAAGGTGCACCTGTGTAATGATCACACGGTTTAATCAGCTTCTTGATATGCCACACCGGTCAGGTGGATGGATTATTTTACAAACGATGAAATGCTCACTAACAGGGATGTAAAGAAATTTGTGCACAAAATTGGAGAGAAATAATCTTTGTATGTATGGAACATTTCTGGAATCTTTTATTTCAGCTCATGAAACATGGGACCAGCACTTTACATGTTGCATTTATATTTTTGTTCAGTGTAGTTTTAAAAACTGCCAGATTCTCTCCACTCCATGGTAAATGTATAGAATTGCAGGAACTATACTTTAAAACTTAAATTCCTCTCTGCTGTCAAGAGGGGGAACACTAAAATGTTTTACCCGTAAGGTGGGGGGCCCCCAAACCAAATATTGCGCTTAGAGCCCCCAAAAACATAGGTCAGACTCTGGAATTGTCTAACAAATCAGCATAAACCAATATACACTGAGAACACCTTCCTAATATTGAGTTGCGCATAGATGATTACTGTATTTTAGGAATAGACATACGGAGGTCTCTTTGGAGCATTAGGATCCTTCATAGATGATTACAGTATTTTAGCAATAGACATACGGAGGTCTCTTTGGAGCATTAGGATCCTTCTTTGCCTTCTTGCCCCTCTTTCCAGAAGGACCATAGCTCATCATTTCCGAATCATAGCGAGTTTTGTCCTGCTTGGCCTGGTCCACAAACTTTGACTTCTCCTTTGGAGACATTGTCTGCAAAACAAACAGAGTGCCAAATAAAATGTTAAGTTGGTGTAGGGATAGATAATTATTTATTTTCAATGAAATGGCCTATCATGACAAAATCTGAACGGCTTATTCAACTCTCCATGCTGCTCCTAAAATCAAAGTAGGAAACTACGTGCCAGCTTATTCAAGAAAATACATTGTCATCTCATCCACTGCCAAAACACACATCCATGATTCATTCGAATAAATTATTTGTAGTGCTGGTGATGCAACTCATATAGGTGTAACAGATCCCGGCTTAGGACCACGTCAACAGATAATAGTATCCTGTAAAATGAGAAAATATGAGACTGGAAATAAGGTGTCTGGTTCATGGACAGCATCGCTCAGAATTGATTGAACATCTAAAAAATCTATTTTGCATTTTCCTTTTGGTATCAAAAATTATAATTTCACACAAAAAGAACCACTCACATATACACTACATGGCAAAAAGTATGTGGACACCTGCTCGTCGAACATCTAATTCCAAAATCATGGGCATTAATATGGAGTTGGTCCGCCCTTCACTGCTATAACAGCCTCCACTCTTCTGGGAAGGCTTTCCACTAGACGTTGGAACATTGCTGCGGGGACTTTCTTCCATTCAGCCACGAGCATTAGTGAGGTCGGGCACTGATTATGGGAGATTAGGCCTGGCTTGCAGTCAGCGTTCCAATTCATCCCAAAGGTGATCGATGGGGTTGAGATCAGGGCTCTGTGCAGGCTAGTCAAGTTCTTCCACACCGATCTCGACAAACCATTTCTGTATGGACCTCACTTTGTGCACGGGAGCATTGTCATGCTGAAACAGGAAAGGGCCTTCCCCAAACTGTTGCCACAAGTTGGAAGCACAGAATAGTCTAGAATGTCATTGTATGCTGTAGCGTTAAGATTTCCCTTCACTGGAACTAAGGGGCCTAGCCCGAACCATGAAAAACGGCCCCATACCATTATTCCTCCTCCACCAAACTTTACAGTTGGCACTGCATTCGAGCAGGTAGCGTTCTCCTGGCATCCGCCAAACCCGGATTTGTCCATCAGACTGCCAGATGGTGAAGCGTGATTCATCACTCCAGAGAACGCTTTTCCACTGCTGCAGAGTCCAATGGCGGTAAGCTTTACACCACTCCAGCCAACACTTGGCATTGCACATGGTGATCTTAGGCTTGTGTGCGGCTGCTGGCCATGGAAACCAATTTCATGAAGCACCCGACAAACAGTTCGTGCTGACGTTGCTTCCAGAGTTTGGAACTCGGTAGTGAGTGTTGCAACCGAGGACAGACGATTTTTACACGCTTCAGCATTCGGTGGTCCGGTTATGTGAGCTTGTGTGGCCTACCACTTAGTTGCTGAGTGGTGTTGCGCCTAGACATTTCCACTTCACAATAACAGCACTTACAGTTGACCGGGGCAGCTCTAGCAGGGCAGATATTTGAAGAACTGACCTGTTAGAAAGGTGGCATCCTATGACTGTGCCACGTTGAAAGTCACTGAGCTCTTCAGTAAGGCCATTCTACTGCCAGTGTTTGTCTATGGAGATTGCATGGCTGTGTGCTCAATTTTATACACCTGTCAGCAACGGCTGTGGCTGAAATAGCTGAATCCACTAATTTGTGTATATACAGTGCATTCGGAAAGTATTAATTAGGCCCTAATCTATGGATTTCACATGACTGGGCAGGGGCGCAGACATGGGTGGGCCTGGGAGGGCATAGGCCAACCCACTTGGGAGCCAGGCCCAGTCAATCAGAATGAGTTTTTCCCCACAAAAGGGGTTTATTAGACAGAAATACTCCTCAGTTTCATCAGCTGTTCGGGTGGCTGGTCTCAGACGATCCTGCAGGTGAAGAAGCCGTATGTGGAGGTCCTGGGCTGGCGTGGTTACACGTCGTCTGCGGTTGTGAGGCCGGTTGGACGTACTGCCAAATTCTCTAAAACAACGTTGGAGGAAGCTTATGGTAGAGAAATTAATATTACATTTTCTGGCAACAGCTCTGGTGGACATTCCTGCAGTCAGCATGCCAATTGCACGCTCCCTCAAAACATCTGTGGCATTGTGTTGTGACAAAACTGCACATTTTAGAGTGGCCTTTTAGTGTCCCCAGCACAAGGTGCACCTGTAACGATCATGCTGTTTAATCAGCTTCTTGATATGCCACACCTGTCAGGTGGATGGATTATCTTGGCAAAGGAGAAATGCTCACTGACCGTTAGTATATTTTACTTACAAGTAACGATAAATTGCTTAAGTTTATACATAATACCGACCTGTAAAACAGGAGAAATGATCCGACTGGAAATAAGGTGTCTGGTTCGTTGACAGCTCTGCTCAGAATGAGGAAGCAGCGCCAAAGTCAAAGTACACTACACAGTGCCTTCGGAAAATACATAGACCCCTACGTTACAGCCTTATTATCAAATAGATTTTTTTAAAATTAGCAATCTACACACAATACCCCATAATGACAAAGTGAAAACAGATTTTTAGAGATGTTTGCAAAATGTATTAAATATAAAAAAACATACGTTATTTACATAAGTATTCAGACCATTTGCTATGAGACTTGAAATTGAGCTCAGGTGCATCCTGTTTCCATTGATCATCCTTGAGATGTTTCTACAACTTGGAGTCCACCTGTGGTAAATTCTATGATTTGGAAAGGCAAACACCGGTCTATATAAAGGTCCCACAGTTGACAGTGCATGTCAGAGCAAAAACCAAGCCATGAGGTCGAAGCAATTGTCCGTAGAGCGCTGAGACAGGATTGTGTCAAGGCACCGATCTGGGGAAGGGTACCAAAACATTTCTGCAGCATTGAAGGTTCCCAAGAACACAGTGGCCTCCATCATTCTTAAATGGAAGAAGTTTGAAACCACCAAGACTCTTCTTAGAGCTGGCCGCCCGGCCAAACTGAGCAAACGGGGGAGAAGGGCCTTGGTCAGGAAGGTAACCAAGATCCAGATGGTCACTGACAGAGCTCCAGAGTTCCTCTGTGGAGATGAGAGAACCTTCCAGAAGGACAACCATCTTTGCAGCACTCCACCAATCAGGCCTTTATGGTAGTGGCAAGAAGGAAGCAACTCCTCAGTAAAAGGCACATGACAGCACGCTTGGAGTTACCAAAAGGCACCTAAAGACTCTCAGACCATGAGAAACAAGATTGTCTGGTCTGATGAAACCAAGATTGAACTGGCCTGAATACCAAGCGTCACGTCTGGAGGAATCCTGGCACCATCCCTACGGTGAAGCATGGTGGTGGCAGCATCATGCTGTGGGGATGTTTTTCAGTGGCAGGGACTGGGAGACTAGTCAGGATTGAGGGAATGATGAACGGAGCAAAGTACTGAGAGATCCTTGATGAAAACCTGCTCCAGAGCGCTCAGGACCTCAGACTGGGGCAAAGGTTCACCTTCCAACAGGACAACGACCCTAAGCACAGAGCCAAGACAATGCAGGAGTGGCTTCGGGACAAGTCTCTGAATGTCCTAGAGTGGCCCAGCCAGAGCCCGGACTTGAACCCGATCGAACATCTCTGAGAGACCTGAAAATACCTGTGCAGCAACGCTCCCTATCCAACCTGACAGAGCTTGAGAGGATCTGCAGAGATGAATGGGAGAAACTCCCCAAATGCAGGTGTGCCAAGCTTGTAGGGTCATACGCAAGAAGAGTTTAAGGTTTAAATCGCTGCCAAAGATGCTTCAACAAAGTACTGAGTAAAGGGTCTGAATACTTATGTAAATGTGATATTTCAGTTTGATTTTTTATAAATTAGCAAAATTTCTAACAACCAGTTTTTGCTTTGTCATTATGGGCTATTGTGTGTGGTTTGATGAGGGAAAAAAACAATTTAATCAATTTTAGAATAAGGCTGTAACGTAACAAAATGTGGGAAAAGTAAAGGGGTCTGAATACTTTCCGAATGCACTGTATATACATAAAAGTATGTGGACACCCCTTCAAATGAGTGGATTCAGCTATTTCAGCCACAACCGTTGCTGACAGGTGTATAAAATCGAGCACACAGCCATACAATCTCCATAGACAAACATTGGCAGTAGAATGGCCTTACTGATGAGCTCAGTGACTTTCAATGTGGCACCATCATAGGATGCCACTTTTCCAACATGTCAGTTCGTCAGATTTCTGCCCTGCTAAAGCTGCCCCGGTCAACTGTAAGTGCTGTTATTGTGAAGTGGAAACATCTAGAAGCAACAACAGCTCAGCCGCGAAGTGATAGGCCACACAAGCTCACATAATGGGACCACAGTGCTGAAGCACGTAAAAATAGTCTGTCCTCGGTTGCAACACTCACTACCGAGTTCCAAACTGCCTCTGGAAGCAACGTTAGCACAAGAACGGGAGCTTCATGAAATGGGTTTCCATGGCCCAGCAGCCGCTCACAAGCCTAAAATCACCATGCGCAATGCCAAGCTTCGGCTGGAGTGGTGTAAAGCTCGCCGCCATTGGACTATGCAGCAGTGGAAACGCATTCTCTGGAGTGATGAAGCACACTTCACCATCTGGCAGTCCGATGGCGAATCTGGGTTTGGCAGATGCTGGGAGAACGCTACCTGTCCCAATGCAGTGCCAACTGTAAAGTTTGGTGGAGGAGGAATTAATGTTATGGGGCTGTTTTTCATGGTTCGGGCTAGGCCCCTTAGTTCCAGTGAAGGGAAATCTTAACACTACAGCATACAATAACATTCTAGACTATTCTGTGCTTCCAACTTTGTGGCAACAGTTTGGGGAAGGCCCTTTCCTGTTTCAGCATGACAATGCCCCCGTGCACAAAGCGAGGTCCATACAGAAATGGTTTGTCTAGATAGGTGTGGAAGAACTTGACTGGCCTGCACAGAGCCCTGATCTTAACCCCATCGAACACCTTTGGGATGATTTGGAACGCCGACTATGAGTCAGGCCTAATCGCCCAACATCAGTGCCCAACCTCACTAATGCTTGTGGATGAATGGAAGCAAGTCCCCGCATTATGTGCCAATATCTAGTGGACAGCCTTCCCAGTAGAGTGGAGGCTGTTATAGCAGCGAAGGGGGGACCAACTCCATATTAATGCCCATGATTTTGGAATGACATGTTCTACGAGCAGGTGTCCACATACTTTTGGTATTGTAGTGTACATCACCAATCAGAGCTGCCAAATGTCAGTCTCCCCCTTGTGGTGACACTTGGTATAAATACCTCCAATGTAATGTCTGGAGGACATACAGTATATTCATAAACATAATATTAATAAAATAAAACGTAAAATTAACACAAAACTGTGACCATACATTTTGTGTGCGTCACATAGGCCTATGTCCTCTTACCTTCCATCTTCCAGAGCACTTCTTGGAAAACTCTGAAAAGTTCACTGGGATCTCTGGATTCTTCTTTTTGTGTTCTTCTCGGCAGGTTTGAACAAAGTAGGCATAGGCAGACATCTTGCCCTTTGGCTTACGAGCGTCACCCTTGGCCATCCTGAAAAATGGTGGATGTTCTCTTGCACCACCAGAATATCTTCCACCAGCTACTACAAGACAAACAGACATTAAAAGCTTAATGAAACACTTACTCTAGAGTCTGGATCCTAAATGCACAGTTCGGGGAAACCGAGGAACAAAGTAACATGGTGTCAGTTGTAACAACTAAATAACTCAAATTAAAAATCACTTTGAAAGACGTTATTCAATATTTTAATGTTTGGTAGTGTCTCTACTCTAGGACTTTTTGTTTAAATCCATAAATGATATTTTGTTTTATCGACCCCCCAAAAATTGAGGCCGAATATTTTAATTGCGACTCAATTTTGTATGTGTTCTTTATTATCGACCTGTGGAACATTCTCCATGTATCTAATCATGCAATATAATGTGTATCAGTAAGAAGAGGTCTTTTGATTTGTTTAGTTGATTACCAACCAGTAATTGTTGTATTTTCTCACAAGACTCAGACAAAATATTAGACAAATGTTACAATTGACCTCTTACCTAAAATGCTATGGTATGATATTTAGACCCATTCACATAATCATATACAGTGGGGAAAAAAAGTATTTAGTCAGCCACCAATTGTGCAAGTTCTCCTTCTTAAAAAGATGAGAGAGGCCTGTAATTTTCATCATAGGTACATGTCAACTATGACAGACAAAATGAGAAGAAAAAAAATCCAGAAAATCACATTGTAGGATTTTTAATGAATTTATTTGCAAATTATGGTGGAAAATAAGTATTTGGTCAATAACAAAAGTTTCTCAATTCTTTGTTATATACCCTTTGTTGGCAATGACACAGGTCAAACGTTTTCTGTAAGTCTTCACAAGGTTTTCACACACTGTTGCTGGTATTTTGGCCCATTCCTCCATGCAGATCTCCTCTAGAGCAGTGATGTTTTGGGGCTGTCGCTGGGCAACACGGACTTTCAACTCCCTCCAAAGATTTTCTATGGGGTTGAGATCTGGAGACTGGCTAGGCCACTCCAGGACCTTGAAATGCTTCTTACGAAGCCACTCCTTCGTTGCCCGGGCGGTGTGTTTGGGATCATTGTCATGCTGAAAGACCCAGCCACGTTTCATCTTCAATGCCCTTGCTGATGGAAGGAGGTTTTCACTCAAAATCTCACGATACATGGCCCCATTCATTCTTTCCTTTACACGGATCAGTCGTCCTGGTCCCTTTGCAGAAAAACAGCCCCAAAGCATGATGTTTCCACCCCCATGCTTCACAGTAGGTATGGTGTTCTTTGGATGCAACTCAGCATTCTTTGTCCTCCAAACACGACGAGTTGAGTTTTTACCAAAAAGTTCTATTTTGGTTTAATCTGACCATATGACATTCTCCCAATCCTCTTCTGGATCATCCAAATGCACTCTAGCTAACTTCAGACGGGCCTGGACATGTACTGGCTTAAGTAGGGGGACACGTCTGGCACTGCAGGTTTTGAGTCCCTGTTACTGATGGTAGGCTTTGTTACTTTGGTCCCAGCTCTCTGCAGGTCATTCACTAGGTCCCCCCGTGTGGTTCTGGGATTTTTGCTCACCGTTCTTGTGATCATTTTGACCCCACGGGGTGAGATCTTGCGTGGAGCCCCAGATCGAGTGAGATTATCAGTGGTCTTGTATGTCTTCCATTTCCTAGTAATTGCTCCCACAGTTGATTTCTTCAAACCAAGCTGCTTACCTATTGCAGATTCAGTCTTCCCAGCCTGGTGTAGGTCTACAATTTTGTTTCTGGTGTCCTTTGACAGTTCTTTGGTCTTGGCCATAGTGGAGTTTGGAGTGTGACTGTTTGAGGTTGTGGACAGGTGTCTTTTATACTGATAACAAGTTCAAACAGGTGCCATTAATACAGGTAATGAGTGGAGGACAGAGGAGCCTCTTAAAGAAGAAGTTACAGGTCTGTGAGAGCCAGAAATCTTGCTTGTTTGTAGGTGACCAAATACTTATTTTCCACCATAATTTGCAAATAAATTAATTAAAAATCCTACAATGTGATTTTCTGGAGAAAAAAAATCTAATTTTGTCTGTCATAGTTGACGTGTACCTATGATGAAAATTACAGGCCTCTCATCTTTTTAAGTGGGAGAACTTGCACAATTGTTGGCTGACTAAATACTTTTTTTCCCCCACTGTAAATTGTCTTTACAAGTTTTTCAGTACAACTAAGATGATTTTACCTTAGAATCTTCTAAAATAACAATCTTAAACTTCAAACTTTTGAATGCTAGTATATATATCACTACCGTTCAAAAGTTTGGGGTCACTTAGAAATGTCCTTGTTTTCGAAAGAAAAGCAATTTTTGTCCATTAAAATAAGATCAAATTGATCAGAAAATACAGTGTAGACATTGTTAATGTTGTAAATCGATATTGTAGCTGGAAACGGCTGATTTTTATGGAATATCTACATAGGCGTACAGAGGCCCATTATCAGCAACCGTCAGTCCTGTGTTCCAATGGCACGGTGTGTTTGCTAATCCAAGTTTATCTTTTTAAAAAGGCTAATTGATCATTAGAAAACCCTTTTGCAATTATGTTAGCACAGCTGATTAAAGAAGCAATAAAATTGTCCTTAGAGACTAGTTGAGTATCTGGAGCGTCAGCAATTGTGGGTTCGATTACAGGCTCAAAATGGCCAGAAACAAATAACTTTCTTCTGAAACTCGTCAGTCTATTCTTGTTCTGAGAAATGAAGGCTATTCCATGCGAGAAATTGCCAAGAAACTGAAGATCTTGTACAACGCTGTGTACTACTCCCGTCACAGAACAGCGCAAATTGGCTCTAACCAGAATAGAAAGAGGAGTGGGAGGCCCCGGTGCACAACTGAGCAAGAGGACAAATGCATTAGTGTCTAGTTTGAAAAACAGACGCCTCACAGGTCCTCAACTGGCAGCTTCATTAAATAGTACCCACAAAACACCAGTCTCAACGTTTGTCTTTTATTCATATATATTTTTTTCTCACTTTCCATCCTTTAACTAAATATACTTTCCTGCAACCCGCCTCACCCAATGTGGAACGGATTCTATTATTTCTTTATTTTTATCAAGAACCTACAGCTGAAACTAGACAGCTGCCAGCTAACTAGCTAATTGCTATTAGCCACCGTTAGCGGTCTTCACCACTGTCCATGGCCTGCACTACCTACCAGCCAGCTCTAGCCTGGACAATTATCGGCCAGTCTGCACAGCGTGCTAACGACCCAGAGCATATCGGATTTTCTGCCGGAATCACTGAATCACTGGACCATCGCAACTAGCTAGCTGCAACCGAATGGCTGTTGTTGGCTAATCACCACTTCCCGACGTACCAGTTAGCCTTGAGCTAGCCTCGAGCCTGGCCCATCTCCCGGCTATCTACCTCTCTGTCAACCGGACGGGACCTCCTAGTGTCAACACGGAGCCCCGCCGATCCATCACGACTGGTCTGCCGACGTAATTGTCTGATGTGGTTTCAACAGGCTTCCCGTTGCGACGACCACGAAGATCCATCTGCTAGCCCCGGCCCGCTAGCATGCGCAATCAACAGCCGTGCCTCCTGCTCGCCTGTGCTTTAGCAGCCTACAATCTGCTCCCGGACTTACTTAGTGCTGTTCACTGGACCTTGTGATCACTCAGCTACACAGCTAATGCCTGCCAGACTGTTCCTTTACACGGTACCACATCATGTTTATCGGTTTAGCCTCAGCCCAAACTTTCATCGCCATTGCCAGTTGTTGTCTTAGCCCTCTTGAATAACACCTGTGATTGCGTTAAGCCTCTCTCCCATGTCAATATGCCTAGCCTATTGCTGTTTGGGTTTGTTCTTATTATACAATTTCACTGTAGAGCCCAAAGTTCAGCTCAACCAGCCTCCGAGAGCTCCTTTGTCCCACCCCCCATACACGCGGAGCCCGGCTCAAATCGGTACCTCCAGTGATGCTCTCTCTTTCATAGTTACCCAATGCTTAGGTGTACTGCCACTGTACTCATATCCTTGTCTGTACATAATGCCCTGAATCTATTCTACAACGCCCGGAAATCTGCCTCTTATTCTCTGTACCAAACGCACTAGAAGACCAGTTCTTAAAGCCTTTAGCCGAATCCTTACAGTGAGGGAAAAAAGTATTTGATCCCCTGCTGATTTTGTATGTTTGCCCACTGACAAAGAAATGATCAGTCTATAATTTTAATGGCAGGTTTATTTGAACAGTGAGAGACAAAATAACAACAAATAAATCCAGAAAAACGCATATCAAAAATTGTATAAATTGATTTGCATTTTAAATGAGGGAAATAAGTATTTGAGCCCCTCTCAATCAGAAAGATTTCTGGCTCCCAGGTGTCTTTTATACAGGTAACGAGCTGAGATTAGGAGCACACTCTTAAAGGGAGTGCTCCTAATCTCAGCTTGTTATCTGTATAATAGACACCTGTCCAAAGAAGCAATCAATCAGATTCCAAACTCTCCAACATGGCCAAGACCAAAGAGCTCTCCAAGGATGTCAGGGACAAGATTGTAGACCTACACAAGGCTGGAATGGGCTACAAGGCCATCGCCAAGCAGCTTGGTGAGATGGTGACATCAGTTGGTGCGATTATTCGCAAATGGAAGAAACACAAAATAACTGTCAATCTCCCTCGGCCTGGGGCTCCATGCAAGATCTCACCTCGTGGAGTAACAATGATCATGAGAACGGTGAGGAATCAGCCCAGAACTACACGGGAGGATCTTGTCAATGATCTCAAGGCAGCTGGGACCATAGTCACCAAGAAAACAATTGGTAACACACTACGCCGTGAAGGACTGAAATCCTGCAGCGCCCGCAAGGTCCCCCTGCTCAAGAAAGCACATATACAGGGCCTTCTGAAGTTTGCCAATGAACATCTGAATGATTCAGAGGAGAACTGGGTGAAAGTGTTGTGGTCAGATGAGACCAAAATCGAGCTCTTTGGCATCAACTCAACTCGCCGTGTTTGGAGGAGGAAGAATGCTGCCTATGA